GCGTACTACCCCTCTCACCCATATAACACATTTTCGTGCATTTTTTGTTCTCCTTTTGTTTGGCACATATGCAAACGCGCACACACTCTAATCACGGTGTTATATGTACGAAAATCACAGTGCATTAAGTTTTATAATCTGTCATGCCACATTTTAGTTCAATCACAGTACTGGTTCTGAGTACCTTAATCTTGTACATAGGTTTAATTTTTATTGCTTACATGATAAGCTGTTATAAAAGTGAAGTATGGAACAGCCCAACAGTATGCAAATTTTAGTTCGATCATCGAGCACTGGTTCTGACTTCTGAATACCTTCAGCTTTAATTTTGCACTTTTATTCTAGAACTAAAAGTAGTTTTCTTTTTTTGCACTTTAATCCTTCTGCTTTGGTTGCTTTTATTCTGTAATTAGTGCGTTTTGGTAAGCTTGACGAACCGACCCTTCTGGCTAATCTTGATATTTGCCCTTTTACATCTTTTTCGACATTTAGTTGATGGCTGTGCCTCTATAATTGAGTCATTGGTTTCCCTTTTTTTTCCCCTTTTTTTTATACGAGTAGTTATTTTGTTTCTGAGTTGATATTTTGACATACTAACTCGTCTTTTGGTTGACTGATTTGTAATAGATATGATGGGAGTTGTTTTATATGCTTTACCAGTGAGAAAGGCACTTTTAGATGGTGTTTCTATTATTGCTAGAGATTGTGTTGTTGATCAAAGGTGATTCCCTCCGTGTTGCTTTTGTTGCCTCCGGTATTTTTTGAGATTGTTGACACCTTGTTGTTTATATTTGTTGCTATAGTAAGAAGCCTGTTCTACTGACATTGTTCCGTGATTTTTGAGGCTGAAGTGGGATGGACCAAAGTAGATGATATGTGGTCTGCTTAGTCCAATCCAATTATTATTGGTATTAGACTTGGAGTGAATCCCTGATAATTGTGAGATCTGTTTCTATGTATATTCATGGTTCCTTAGTTAATTAATTTGTTTAGGCTATTGTGTTAATGGTCACTGTGCTATCTTTTTCTTGGTACTTTTCCCTTCTGGACTTTAAATCACGGATTGTTTGCTAAGTCATAGCAAGCAAGAATGTTATATTGATTTTCTGAAAGGTGATATTTTTATTAGGCATTTCTGATGGAAGGTTAACCTCCTTCCTTCCTTTGACTGTATTCTTGAATTTTTTTTCCTCGTCCCGGGAAAAGAAAATTTTTTTTGGGTAGAAGAAAGTGCCAACATTTTCTTGCTTAATATTGCATTAAATAGTGCGATCCAGGCTTGAAGTTGCATGTACCAAATTGTGAATTCAATGGTTGGTTGATAAGCATTAATTCATTAATCTCCAAGGAAAAAACATCAAGGATATGGATAGAATTGAAACTCTTATTCAGACATTGCTTGGGATTGCTTTGAGGCCCGTGAGATTCCCCGCTATGTTTTTGTTTCTTTCTTTATTTGCTAATCAATTTAATAATGCCAATTTCATCAATTAAACAATTTAAGAAAAGGTTCAATTAGCCACCCTAGCAATCAAAAGAATTATTTCCTCTAGGAAAAAACAGAAGTGACCTTAAAATTAGCAAAGCAGCAAAGGATGCATGTTAAAGGCCTTCCAAAAAAACATCCGGTAAAAGTTATGATCCAAAAGTATAAAATAATCATTCATCCCATCACTCCAAAAATTTGGTTTTCTCCAACTCCTAGCTGCTTCACGGTCATGCTCAAATTTGTACGACTCCAAAACCTTCATTATAAGACCAAAATAGAAGGAAATTAAAAAAGAATCCGCACAAGGCTGGCTGTCAAATACATGCAAAATAAATATGGTCCTAAATATATAGGCATTTGGTTCATTTATTATTTCCAGCTATTAATCTTGAGCTTTAAATGAATAAGCATTTTTCTCATTTAGTATTCCCAGCTGTTAAACATAAACTGGGCATACAAGTTTTTATCTCTATCGCGCAGAGCGCGGTTTATACCTCCTAGTAATAAAGAATAGATTTCTCTCTGTGGATGTAGGCTCAACGGTGGAGCCGAATCACATTAAATATTGTCTATCGTTTATTTTTCATACTTGTGGCTTATTTGACATTAAATTGTTGTGCACTTAATATCTCAATAGTTGTTTATTCCGCACTTGGATCCTAACATTTTCTAAGTTCCCGTTTGGGAATGCCACAATTTTGTTACTCGTGTCATAAAATAAAGCATAATTTAATGATCAAAATAAGAATTAAATTTTGTGATGGATCAATTATTTACAACAATGTAGTGCATAGTGATGCCATGAAAGAATTGTAACAAGTAAGGGAAATATGAAAAAATAAAAAAGAGAAGTAAAAGAAAAAAATAAAAACAAACATATAATATGAGAGTGATTTCATGCTTAAGCATAAATTAGGTGGTAATTTGAGCATACAATTCTTTAAGGTGCAAAGTGCAAATTGGGTTATAGTTCATAAAGGTGAATTACCATTGCTAGCTTAAAGGTCCGTGTATCAATTCATGAAACCATTGTCTTTGAGTTTTAGTTCAAAGAGAAAAGAACTTCCGAAGGCAAAGTGATCTTGGAACCCGAAGTTACGAGTTCTTACTAGTTAGTGCAATTAACCATTCTCATAAGTTCCAGTTCAAATCAATTTGCCCTTAGAATGTAAATATGAATAGACTTAGGTAGGATGTAAATTGATCGTATTATGGAGTAAAAAATTATAAAAGGTCTATTTTGTCCTCAATTTATTTGAAAGGGAACTTGTGAGACCCATGATCTTAAGCCTTTAATAGTAACCAACCAGTGACTGAAGGCCCAAGCATCAAAGGCATCGGAAAGCCAGCCCATTCACAACCCAATTACACTGAAACTATTTCTTGAATCTTGAGTGCATATTTTGATTTTGGAGGTCCGACCAATGTAAACTCTTTCGAAATATTGGACAAGAATCCAATACAATTGTATTTTGTACAGTTTCATCTAGCCATTGTACATGTTCAGAGTTTTGGCGTACAAATACATCATAATAATATATAATAAATATTATATATATATATATCAATTTTATTTCAAATGTAATACTATAATGTAATTGTACATCAAGTAATATAAAAAGTACAACAATCAAACTAAACCGTACGAAACTCTAAGTGCAATGAGTCCTCTCTCCGAAATGCTATACAAAATCTTTATTGAACAACACAAGGAAAGTGGAGTCCGAGAGAAATACAATTTGTTGTATGTTTTTTCGGATTAGGATGACCAAAGAAATCTTGTCATCGATTAGCATCTCGATTTCTTATAACTTGCAAATTTCCTTAATTAATGCAAAACTTTAGCCTAGTCATTACATCCAAATCCTGATTAGACCAGCAGAAAGCAATGTATGAATGTGACCTTAAGACTCGTACCTGCGTTTAACAACTGCAGTATTCGTTCATATCAACATAAATCAGGGGGTTTATCTCAGGTTGCACCTCCTTAATTTTTAAAAAATTGTAAAATAGGCTATAAATTTTAGATTTTTAGTATTTTTCCTCTCTTGCCCCTCTGAATTTTGATAATATTCCTTTTAATCCTGCAACTCCCCCTCGAAGGTGTTAAAACTTTTTACAATTGCTCTTACCATTTCTAATGACAACGTAAAACAAAATATATTACAAAATGCTACTTTTTTTTCATTTTAATGTTTTCTAAATGTCCAATAACACAAATTACAAGCAAAACGAACATTCTTTTGACAGTGCAATTCTATGTATATTATTAGTCTAGTTTATATACTAGATCTTTACATCTTGTAGTCTTATGCACATTTTAAAATTCTATGCAATTTTATAAAATAACATGACATGATAACTGTTGTAAATGGTTAATCACAAGCAGTAAATAACTTTTTTTAAAAAAAATTGTAGTATTAAGTAAATTGATTGGTATACTTATATCAAATTTTTAGTTATACTAAAAATTTCTAAACTAACACATTTTAAGCTAATATTAATGTTGCATCCCCTAAACAAAGGTCCTGACTCCTCTATTGCATAGAGGAAATTACCATTGATCACTTAAAGGTATTGACACCATTTTATGAAACCGTTGTCTTTGAATTCTAATTCAAAGAGAAAAGTAGAAGGCAAAGTGGTATTAGAGCCAAAGTTATGGATTCTTACTAGTTAGTGCAATTAATCATTAGATCAAGAGCCTCACAAGTTTCAATTCAAATAAGTAGAGGCACGGTGTAATAGAATTCGGTAGAGTGTAAATTGATAATACTGTAGTGTAACAAAAAATTAGTAAAAGGACTATTTTATCCTTAACTGCTTTAAAATGGAACTCATGGGGTCGGTGACCCTTAATCCTCTAACGGCACCGAACCCACGACTTGAGGCCCAGTTGTAAATAGCATCGGACCGATCCATTTACACCGCAGGAGGGGCTAATGGGGCTGGCAGGTCCCCCAGGGCAGAGGTATACTCCCCGCCTCATCCCCCCTCCGCCACCCGTTTAAGAAAAATAAAGATATATATATGTACATAATTATATATATAATATTTAATTTAATTAGTTATAAATTTATAATAATGATATTACTAATTATATGTATCATTTAATGTATATTAGTATATGTTAGATAATTGATGTTATCAATTATACTACTAATTATACATGTGTATTAATAAAAATTATTAATTATTTATACTAAATTTATTAACACATTTATATTAAATTCCTAACTACACTTAACACAATAATCCTTTTTTTCTAAAAAAAACACAATAATAATTTAGTGATTGTATTTGTATCAAAAGTGAAAACTTAATTATTTTAGTTATATTTGTTTTATCATATTGAATTGTATTCAAATAGCTTTTGTTTAATTATTTTTATGAGTTTCAATTGTGAAATTACAATGAATAATAACTTGGTGATGTGTTGATATTTTAGTACTTGATTATTTGTTAAAATTTAATTAATAAAATTATATAACAAAATTTTTTTAACCCCACGATGCCCATGCGAGGGAAGCCAGAGGCAAGAGAACGGGCGGGGGTAGGGGGAATTAATAAGCAACGGGGCGGCGGCCCGCCCCATTGCCACCTTAAAGTACACTAAGGGTCTGTTTGATAACATACAGAAGTGCTGAAACTAAATCTTTTCAGACATTCAGATGTTCTGAGTGTTTGATAAATGAAAATCTATCTGCTGAATTTATTAAGCAGTGCTAAACTTGTGTGTATTTTTTTCAGCACAAATCTGATAAGAATCAATAAAATTACTTCAACTACTTTATCTTATCTACCAAATCTATCCTTACTTGTTAATTATGTTCAAAATTCTTATCTAATTAAACAACTTGATATTCTCTATCTAACGGTTTTCTGTTTCTCTTTTCTTCCTTTTTAATGACTTTCACATCTTTTCCCTACTTCTCATATAATATATTTCACCTTTTATATTAATTTGATTTAAAAATAAATATTGTCATTTTCATACCTAATAATTTTAAGTTAATTAAATCATAGGTTCTATTTCTTTTTTGAATGAAAAGATATAAGGGCTAAATTGTCAAATTAAACTTATTAAGCATTCAGTTATAAATATTTATGAAACAGGATAAATAACTTAGTATTAAAATTCAGACATTTATATATTTCTTTTCACTACTTAAAATCCAGCAAATTAATTGTTTCAGTATTCAGATTCAGTTTTATCAAATGGAACCTAAAATTGTTTCCTAATTATCAATTTTACATTTGGAGGTCCAAAAAACGTAAACTCTATCGAATTACTATACAGAATCTTTGTTGAACTACAAGAGGAAGATGGAGTCCTAGAAAAACTGTGTTTGTTGTACACTAAAACTGTTTCCCAAATGATTTGGAGGTCCACCAAACGTAAAGTCCATCGAATTAGTGTACAGAATCTTTCTTTAACTACAAGAGGAAGATGGAGTCCTACAAAAACTGAGTTTGTTGTATGGTTTTTGGATAAGCAAGACGAAAGAATCTTGCGATGGATAGGCATCTGAAATATCCTACTACTTACAACTTTCCTTAATTAATGCAAGATTTAGCCTTGTAATTATATTCCAATCCTAATCAGACGAGAAGAAAGCAAAATATATAAATGTGACCTTAAGACTCATTCTGCCTTTACAATTGCAGCATTCGTTCATATCGACAGAAATCAGAGGGTTTCTTGAAGAGGTATTCTATTCCAATACAGAATTCGCCGCAGTGGAGACAAAAGATTCAACCTTTACGCACTTGTCATCAATGAAGATCGAGGTAGAAAACATCAAGAGCAAAAGGACTTCTCCTGCCTTAACCAAATTTTTTGGGCACGTTAGATCAAGAAAGATGGCATCTTCCGAAACAGTGGAGGATGATGATCGCTGGCACGAGCAGGTAGACCTTTCCAAGTTGCTTCTTGGGCCGAAGCTTGGTGAAGGGACGCATGGAAAAATTTACCGTGGCAATTACAATGATGAGTCTGTTGCTGTAAAAGTAAGCAAAGTTCCAGATGATCCTGATTGCGATGGAAAAAGGGATTTACATGGTACAGTAGAGAAGAAGTTCAATCAAGAATCTGCTCTCTTGCTTCGTCTCCACCACCCGAATGTTTTGAAGTTCGTAGGGGTTTGGAGACAGCCACCTGTTTTTGGGATCATCACTGAATATCTATCAGGGGGTTCCTTGAGGTCGTACCTGAACAAGATTGAGCACCAACATAAATCTGTTCCCTTGCCTACAGTAGTCAGTATGGCCTTGGATATTGCTCGTGGGATGGCGTACATTCACTCGCAAGGCATTGTTCACAGGGATCTCAAGCCAGATAACGTACTAATCAGCGAAGATTTCCATCTGAAAATTGCTGATTTTGGTGATGCTTGTGAGGAAGCTCACTGCCATCTTCTTGCTGATCGCACGGGAACTCTTCGGTGGATGGCCCCTGAGATGATGAAGCAGAAGAAATCCTACAACAGGAAGATTGATGTGTATAGTTTTGGACTAATGTTATGCGAGATGATTGCTGGAACAATTCCATTCGAAGGCATGGCACCAGAAGCAGTCGTTTTTGGCGTGCTAAACAAAGATCTGCGACCTACAGTACCTCAGCGTTGTCCTCCTGCAATGAGAGAACTAATTGTGCAGTGCTGGTCCTCCAATCCTGGGAAGAGGCCAGAATTTTGGCAGATTGTCAAAGTTTTGGAGAAGTTTGAAACTTCACTGGCTTCTGAAGGATCCTTGAATAATTTGGTCCTAAATCTCACTTCTCAGCATGATAAGAAGAGGCTGCTTCTCCATTGGATCCAAAAGCTTGATCCCATTCGTCACTCGGATAAATTGATCAACACTGCCTATAATAGGAGGCCGATAATGGTTTCTTGATAATTGCATATTGTAAATTCAGTTAGATTCTATTGTAAATTAGATTCTTTTTTAAATTGTAGCTTGCTGTCTCTATGTTTTAGGCCGCAGGCAGTGAGATGAATTGTTATGTAACCTTGCTTTTGTCATCAATAATATACGACAGGACTTTTTCAACTGTAAGTCTGTAACTACAAATTTCTCTGCAATTCGGTAATCAAACAATTATCCTACTAATTGGTCATTTTTTGCAAGTGTGTATGTCCAACGTAGATATTTCAAAAGAAAATTTATCAATTAGTGTGTCTAAACTCTGAAGTGTTACGTTATCAAACAAATTGCAGAACCTCCTTGACTCAAAGCAAATCCAATCAATTGTAGTATGTATTTATATCAGACATGAAAAGGTGAGTGGATTTCTCAAAAGATCTTAACGTGTATTCTATACACATATTGCACATGTTAGTTAGACTTGTTCGGTCTTACCGACTACGAAAGTTGAGTTCTGGACTCTAGATGGATGTTGATCAGCAAAGCTGAAAATAGTGCTTCCTCCTGTGAATAAGACTAAGCTCTCAAAGTCATAAATTTGTGCAGCAGTAGTGGGGAACGAATCATCTGTATTTGAAATAACTGTCCTCCCGTCAGTTTCCAACATGTTCACAATTTGATTCATGGTTGGCCTGGCATGTAAGAGAGGATGAACAAAAAGAATCGCTGCCAGAACACGTTTCTCCATTACTTCTGGGGGGTCTATATCAAGCAACTTTTCATCATTAATTCCCAGAGCTCGACCTTCCCTCACAAGTGACTATGCCAATCTGTCAAAAGCAAAGCCTGATGATCTTTGTTAATCGAAATAACTGCTTCCTTGCCACTCAAGAACTGAAGAAGAACAGACCCAACAGTGTGAACGTGACTTTTCTCTGTTAATTGGCCATATGAAGCGTATTCTAGAGATACATAGCTTAATGTACCAGCTACTCTTGTACTAAAATGTGAGAATCCATCTTGGTTGAACTGTGCCACAAATGGAGCCTCTCCAGCTCTAGCTATGCCAGTTATGTAATGGGTCTAATATTCGGCGTAAACATGTACAATTTTGGTGGAATGACTGTACAATTTTGGTCTAATGACTATATATTATATGTCTTTAATTCTTTCTTTATTATTTTTTTTTGTGTTAGTTTAAGTGAGAGGTCTTGAATCCGAGATCTCTCACTTATATTCTTTTTTCCCGTATAATCCAATCCATCCATCCCTTGACTATATGTTATATGTTAATCAAATTAACCATCTTTCGTTTTTATTTAAAAAAATCCAATAGAGCACTAGTTAAGTTTGAAATGAAGTAGGTGGTTTGGAGAATTGTTTGTATTATTTAATACCATTATCAGTGCACACAAACATTAAAATTAAGTACTTTCAAATTATTTAATATCACTATCAATGTACACGAATATTATAATAAGTACTTTGAAACTTTACTATTGGAATGTTAGATTTCAATAGGAAGGGGGAAAACAAGAAAACAAAAAAACAAAAAAAAAGGTGAGTTATTTTGAAATATTTCTAAAAATACTTCATGTTAGTATTTATCTTCACTAGTTTTTACGATCACTATTCATAATTACAGCCATTTAACACATGGGTCTGTTTGATAACATAAAAAAGTGTTGAATTTGAACTTTTTCAAACATTCAGATGTTTTAAGTGTTTGATAAATAAAAATTGAACTTGTTAAGCAGTGCTAAACTTGTGTGTATTTTTTTCAGTACAAAAATCCTAACTGAATGCTTAATTCTGATAAGAATCAATAGAATTACTTCAACTATCTTATTTTGTCTACCAAATCTACCCTTGTTTGATAATTATATTCAAAATTCTTATATAATTAAACAATCTAATATTTTCTATCTAACGGTTTTCGGTTTACCTTTTCTCCCTTTCAACGACTTTCACTTCTTCTCCATACTCATCATAAAATATATTTTACTTTTTATATTAATTTGATTTAAAAATAAATATTGTCATTTTCATATTTAACAATTTTAAGCTAATTAAATCATAGGTTCTATTTCTTTTTTGAATGAAAAAATATATGGGCAAAATTGTCAACTTAAATTTATTAAGCATTCAGTTATAAAATATTTATGAAACAGTATAACTAGACTTAGTATAAAAATTCAGACATTCATATATATCTTTTCAGTGTTTAAAATTCAATAAATTAATTGTTTCAGTATTCAGATTTCAGAATTTAGACTTCAGAATTCAAATTCAGTTTTCAGAATTCAAATTCAGTTTTATCAAACGGAACCTTAGGTTCATAAGTCATGTAAAAATTTGTGTAGAAATATTTAGAATAAAGTTATGCATTAGAATTGGTAGGAATTATCCTTTTCTTCCACTAAGCTTTATCTTATTCATTAGCTGTATATTGTTATCTAGTTGTAATTAATTTAACAAAAAGATGCTTTTTAGGTTAATTGATTATTGATCCTCATATGACGTCATTTTGAGGATTTTTTACCAAGGATTTATAAACATATATATATATATATATACACACACGCTATATGTTCAAATCAATTCATATTTTGTGTTATTTAAAAACGATTGTTGTCTATTTGAAATCGAAGAGACTGCATTAATATCAACTTTAAATGTTAGGGACCAGAAATGCAAAATCAACCAACACAAATTAACTCAATTAATAGGGACGAGCCATTTTCTTAGAAAAGGTCGTATATTTGAATCTCGCTGCCAATGTGAGAATAAAAGGTCATGTGTTTGAATCCCGATACTGATATAAAAACTGTGTTAGTAGGTAATATGTAAGAACCCCTGCAAGTGACCTGTGGTTCTGGGGGCATGCCCTAACTCATTGTGACGATCAGAGCCGAATCCACCCCAATCTTTTTTTACCAAACAATATAAAATCAAAACTCACTAATTTAATTTTGATCTTTAGTTATTATATTCTGTATCAAATTAGAAACTTTAGGATCACATTCATTTTAATTGAAATATTAGAAACTGGTTTTATATACAATCCGAATATTGTGACCAAAATTACATTTTTCCCTATTTTCTAATATATCCCATCCAAACCTGAATTAACAACACTAGATAACAAGAATTATGAGTCCAATGATGACCTAACCCTGAGCTAATTGATATTCCAAGAATTAGTCATTCCACCTCCATTAGTTCATGATCAAAAGACAAGGAATTATGGCATGTCTAAACTATTTTAAGTTTTTTTGGTAAGAAAATTATTTTATGATGATAACGAATACCACAAATAAATACTATTTTAAGTCTTGAAGATTTTCAATGTTCAAATATTGAGTCAGGCATGGAGCCACATAGGGATGGCTACAAAAGTTCCCCCTATCCCTGCCCCGTTCCCCACCCCCGCCCTACTGCTGCCCCTATAGGTTTACCAGTCCCATCTCACTATCATTATTATTTTTTATTTGATTTAATTTTTTGTATATGTATATATTCTCCATTTGGATTAGCTATTTTTTGGAGTGTTTTTGAAAAATTTTACTGTAACAGTGTATATGAAAAATTTTTACTACAAAATTTTTTTGAAATATTTGATATATTGTATGGATTTGATGTTTTTTGAGTTATTGTGTATTACTGTAACATTGTATTTGAAAAACTTATTTTTGAAAAAATGGCCGATCCAAACGGAGTCGCTTTATTAATCATTCTTTTGAAGTTTCAGCAAAATATTATATCATTTTATCATAACAACATAATATGTTACTTAATTCGTACAAATATATTTATATCATAATAACATAGCATTTATTTCATATCATATATATATATATATAATAAAGCTGTATTCTCATACTTATCTCTTCATATTTTCTCTTTCCTATGTGGCTTATAGTTTCCTACGTGGCTTGCTCCTTTTTTGTTTGGATATATATCAATTCTTATTTCCTATAAAAATTCTTAATATTATATGATTTTTATTTCCTACCCAAAAAAGGAATTGGAAAGTAATGCGATATAAATAAAAGAGATATAAATCTCCTCTATTAGATATATAGGAATAAATGATAATATATTGTTTTATAGTGTCCTATTCTTTTTTTTTTTTAACAGTTTCATCATAGATCCTTTTTATTTTAAAATAATCTACCCATATATAGAACAACATACAAACAATCTAGACATGAAAATTAAAAAAAGTTAGCTCAAGAAAGTTTTTACAAGACTCACAGTCCCTATGCATAATTGATGTACAAAGAGAAATGACACTTCATCTGATTGAAAATTTCTGAAAAAATCCATAAAGAAAATGGAGTGTCATCAACCAAAGAAATAAAATCTCATCATCATAGCTAAAGAAAGATGAGATAAAACATTAGATATTTGTTGAAGTTTTGCACCCCAAAGGCCCCTACCTGACCCTCCGTCCGTAGTGTCCTCCAATCCAAGAGAAAGGCCTCCGTCCGTAGTATCCGTAGTGTCCTCCGCCCGTCTTTTTTTTTAATATATTTCTGCTAATAATTCCTTAATCACAATACATCTCTACCTAGATGGTGGAGAGTATTTCGTGTGTGGACTCACATTATAGGAGTCGATGCACTTAAAGGACTCGATATGGTGGAGGTGGTCTTTTAAAATCGGTAAATCTATCTTGATAACGCATTTGTAAATTTATTACGTACAGATTTATATACGTGCATAGTACAAGTCACATAAGGTCTTATTTGCTATCCAAAGTTATTTGGACGATTATGGTTTTATTTCCTATAAGAATCATATATATATATATATATATAATATTTTCATACTTATTCTTTCATATTTTCTCTTTCCTACGTGGTTTAACAAAACGGCAAGTAGTTTCGTATGTGGCTTGCTCCTTTTTTGTTTGGATATATATCAATTCTTATTTCCTATAAAAATTCTTAATATTATATTATTCTTATTTCCTATCCAAAAAAGGAACTGGAAAGTAATGCGATATAAATAAAAGAGACATAAAT